TGCAGTAGCACTCTTTTGCCAGTAGGTGCCTCCATTTTGCCAAATCGAGCAGAAACTTGCGTACGCCTTGTCTGGGGCTGCCGTGAGAATCTGCGTGGCGGTACGCCAAGTTTAGTTTTTATACATCTCGATGTGAGCGTGGAAACGGGCGTGCGCAACATTTTCGTGCGTAAGCACCGTTTATACATGAGGCCCCTGGTCCTTTTGTTCCTCCATTCTCTGTTCCCTCGGTCTCTCCTTTCCTGGTTTGCCTGTCTGCGTTCCCTGTTTTGTGTCAGGTCCTGTCCTACTTAATGTCCCTGTGCCTGTTCTGTGTGTCTGTTGATGGTCTTCGCTTTTGTCTTCCCGGTCCTGTGTCCCTGGTCCCGTCTCGTCCATCACCTCCCCTGAGATGTGCCTGGAGTGCGTGCCTTGGGGGGCGGGGTGGGGGGGTTTGTCATGACCTGCTCGTATGATCGTCCTGTGTGCCACGCCCCCGCATTTACCTCATGTGAAACCCCGATTGTGACCAGCTGTTTCCTGTTATTTCGGCTTGTCTTGTGTATTTCAGTCCGCATTCAAGTCTGTTTCCCCAGGTCTGTCATTAATATTGCATGTTTGGTATGTGTTACCCCAGAATAAACCCCATTTGCCCGTGTTCACGGCTACTTGCCTACTTCCCCATCCCGACATAACATCTCCATGCTTGTCAAATAAGATTTTTCTTTATAAAGATAAGGTTTGGTATCCCAAAAACTTTTTTTTTTTTTTCAAAAATAGTTGCTGAAAAAGTAGGGGGAGGGGGTCATCTTATAATCAGGGTTGTCTAATAGTCAAGCCAAAACAGTATTTAATTTTGAGATGAATTGCCCCTGAAATTGAAGGAGAAAATGGAAAGGGTGACATTGAAAAACTTCCCAGAAACACTGTATAGTTCAGTGCTTCAAACTGTGGGGAGTAAGATGATTTTCTGAATGTTCCGCAATACATTTTTTTTCATCGCTATGAAATTTTATTGGCAGTAATCTGTGAGCCCACTGGTGAAATGTGAATTAAATATCACATTTTTCAGTATACTGTGGTAGATTGGGTACTGTACCACAAACAGACAACAACAAATGAAAACCACAAATTACAGCATCTTTGGTGCATGACCTATGGGACAAATCAAGCTAAATCAAAGGAATAATAATTCAGTTTATTGCTGTAGGTCAATATCCCTTTCAGTCAGTCAAACTATCAGTGTATACAGCCTAGATTATTGATCAGAAGTGAAGAAATTCCAAAGAGACCAACAATGTAAACAGTAAAGCTGGAAGACTGGTCATGTAGAGAATTTATTTCAGTCCTATTATATTTATATTAATAAATTAATATTAAATTAATTAATCCTATTAATAAAGTGTTCATTATTATTATTATTATTATTATTATTATTATTTAAGATTTGGATGAATGGCTTACTTTCCAAGGTTTGTATGTGTGTTGATCTGTGTGAGAAAGTAGAATAGCTCCATTCTGTAGTAAATTAAAATATATATATTTTCTCTCTACTGTCAGAAATCTTTAAAGATTATTTAAAATAGCATGGTTTTCATGTTTTTATTCAATGACCTATTGTGATTGTGAAAGCTGTCCCAAAAAGTGTCATAAACAAAATACATTGTACCTTCTTAGCAGAAGAGAGAATCGGTCATTTAATGAGTGCTTTGGAGAATAGCATCAGATAAATGTATTTAGAAATGTGCAGGTGTAGCACAGAATACACCGCAGGCAACACACCATTTTTTTATTTTAAACCCTGAAATATACCGCTGATATATAAAAATGATTTGCCATTTTATTCAAAATTGACTGTATTTCAGGTGGTAATCATTTCATAAGAAATTTACAAATGAGAGGGGGTCATTCGGCCCATAAAGCTCGTTTGGGGAGAACTTAACTAATAGCTCAGAGTTGTTAAAATCTTATCTAGCTCTGATTTAAAGGAACCCAGGGTTTTAGCTTCCGCTACACTAGCAGGAAGACTATTCCATACTCGAACTACACGCTGTGTAAAGAAGTGCTTCCTCAAATTTGTTTTAAAATGTTCTCCCACTAATTTCCACTTATGGCCACGAGTTTTAGTATTTAAACTAATATTGAAATAGCCATTTGGCTGAACAGCATCCAGACCCGTTAGAATCTTATAGACTTGGATCATGTCCCCCCTTAGTCTCCTTTGCTCAAGGTTAAACAGATTCAGCTCAGCTAACCTCTCCTCATAATACATTCCTCTAAGACCAGGAATCGTTCTTGTAGCCCTCCGTTTCACCTTTTAGGGCAGCAATGTCCTTCTTAAGGTATGGTGACCAAACCTGCACACAATATTCTAGGTGGGGTCTTACGAAGGAATTATATAAATGTAACATCATCTCCCTTGACTTAAACTCCACATACCTAGAGATATAACCCAACATTCTATTGGCCTTTTTTATTGCTTCCCCACATTGGCGAGAGTGGGACATGGAAGCATCAACATACACACAGAGATCTTTCTCGTAATCAGCTACCTTTATTTCAGTGGTACCCATAAAATATCTGTACTTTATATTTCTGCTCCCTGCATGGATTACCTTACATTTATCTACGTTAAATTTCATCTGCCAAGTATCAGCCCAGTCCCTAATTAAATCCAGATCCCGTTGTAGCCTCTCTGCTGCTAGATCAGTATCTGCTACACCACCCACCTTGGTGTCGTCTGCAAATTTAACCAGTTTACTGTATGTATTTGTGTCAATATCATTAATGTAAATTAGGAACAATAGTGGTCCTAAAATTGAACCCTGCGGTACTCCACTATGAACGTATGCCCACTGTGACATTGTGCCTCTAATAACTACTCGCTACTTCCTGTCAGTTAACCAGTTTTCGATCCAAGCTGCCACAGTTCCTAAAATCCCAGCAGCTTTGAGCTTTAACAAGAGCTATTTGTGAGGGACAACATCAAAGGCCTTCTGGAAATCGAAGTAGATCACATCGTAGGCCATTTTGTGATCAATTTCACTTGTAGCTTCCTCAAAGAACTCAAGTAGATTCGCTAAACAGGATCTACCTCTCCTAAATCCATGTTGGCTATTCCTCAGAATGTTATTTGCATCCAGGTAATCTACCATTTTCTCTTTGATTATAGCTTCCATTATTTTTCCAGTAATGCTAGTTAAACTGATTGGCCTATAGTTTGCTGGATTACTTCTATCCCCTTTTTTGAATATGGGTGTTATATTAGCATGCTTCCAATCTGAAGGTACCACACCCGCAGATAACGATTTCTGGAATATTAAAGTTAAAGGTTGGCTAATAATATCCCATATTTCATATAAGTTTTATGCTAAAGTGATTAACAAATTGAAGATGGCTTCTACATCATGACCTTTATCAGCCAATGCAGAATGTCTCCAAATGGGACCTGGAGGCAGACTCTTCATATGCACTGATAAGTTAAATGAAAGTTGAAAATAAATGGCCTGTCACCATTAAATAAAGTTACAAAAGCCATAATACAATACAAAGCTTGTTTATTCTCTGTCAAACTCCTTAATCTAAATCTATTTGTTTTCTTCTTTTCCTAGGCTTCCCAGTCCATCAGAAAACTTTTTACTGCAACTTTTTTTTCAAGCAGCAATAAATGATGTAAAAACAGGAGAGAACACAGTTGCATGGCTTTCAAACGTCATTGATTTCAACAGCAATGATTTTGATGTAGAAAGTTACAATTATAGCGATGAACTCTCATGGAAAAAGACTGATTTTTTGTTGGATCTACATTCTCATATTAAAGACTATGAAACTGAAACTGAACTGAGTGTTCAGTCAATATTACAGCCAGTTTATCAATCCGCTCCTGCAGTCTGGGTTATAGACCTATCTAAGAGGAAGGCATCCATCCTCCTTGAAGTGCTGGAGTTCCAAACAAACAAAAAGCCAATGAAGATTATAAGCTGCTCAGATACAGAGAAAGAACAATGGCATTTTCTTCAGTGTATGACCTATATTTCACATTTGGGGTAAGTTTCTTTTGTTCAAAATCAGTTTAAGTGCATACCTGAACTACTGTAATTTGCACAAGTACCACATTGCTAATATGAGTAACAATGTCTGCAAACTACTTTGTCCAAAGTTTTGGTAACATCCTGAAGTTCAGTAAAATGCAAATTTATTATTTTAAACTTGATACCTACAACTGGACTTTTCTTTAGACTCATATGTGATGCAAAATGAGTTCTTTGAACTCCTAATTGAACCACATTTTCAGCTGAAACAGCTGAAACAATGCATATTAAGTAGTTATCTGGAACCATTTCAGCATTAATTGGTTTATTCAGTTGTAAATGACATGCTCATGAGTGATATGCTAGCTCACTGAGTAGCACCATTGCCTTCCTTTTATGGGGTTGAGGGTTTAAATTCCACCTCATTTTTATGTGTGTGGTATTTGTCTGTTTTTTGTGTTATGTAGGATTACTTCTGCTATCCAATGATATGCATTTTGGCTACCAGAGAGGTGTACTACGAAGAAATTTAACTGGCTTAGCTTGGTTTCTTGAGCCATGATTCAGTGTTTTGAATACGAATCGTAAGTCAGATTTAACTTTGGTATATTGCCATGTTAATTTACATTGCACATCTAACTTTGTCCAAGGAGGTTTAAGTGCAAGCTTTTGGATTAAAACAGATACATATCCAGCTCTTTCACCAAAAGACGTAGGCTATATAAGAACTGCACTTAGACCAAATAAATGGGATGGGAGAAACTACTGATTTTCTTTTCACTCCAATACAAATAAAATTAAATTTACTGGCGGCGGAGGACCTTGACCAGCATAAGTGTTTTAAAGAAATGATATGTGTTCAGTTCAAGAATATAATAACAGCTCCATCTGTTTTATGTCTAACTCTTTCTTGAGGTTTTCTGTTGTATATTTAGTAGGGCTTATCAAAGTTAATTAATTAGCAATCACAATTAATCTAAAAATAATAACACTTTTAAAATCATGTTAACGCACACTTACATGACCTACCTTAGAGCTACCTTAGAGTCGGACAATGCATGTATTGAGTTTTCTGTACCACATTGTTCATCTGTCCTGTCATATTTTTGGGAAGTTAGTACTCACTTTCACATCTTTCTGCCCATAAGCCTGATTTGGTCAATGCATTTGTGAGAACACATTATTATGTGTGAACACATTATTATCAGTGATAAAGTGAGAAACAAAGAAGAAAACAACAGTTCCTTAATGAAGTCCTTTGCTTTTTTCTCTCATTACATGAAACATTACAAATGTTTCTTTTAAATGGTCATCCAAAGTGTAATCATAAGTAGATATTCATAAATATTTGTAAGTGTAGCAGAACACTACATACTCGATACATTCCAGATACAGGATTGCACTTCAGTCAGGAAATCACATCACTACACACAACCCTTTCCATCCTCCTCGATATTAGAGTGGCACAAATGTATGGCTAACTTAGACAAGACCACCTCCCAGGGGATCTAGAACATTAGGTGATGTCCCAGACAGGTAAAATATCACGCTACACTGTTTTACTTCCTAGAGGAGTCTTGATTTCAACAGCTCCACTTTCAAGGTAGGTGGCTACACTACAAATAATTCCACCCTCACTCCAAATCCTATTACAAAACCACCCCTAACTAACTACTTTAATCTCCAGAGGGCCTATTGCCCCTGTAAGACCACCATGCTGCACACCCCAAAGTCACCACACCTTGTTCCTCCATTTCTCATAACTTAAAAAACATCCTCTCTAATCCCCCACAGGTGTAAATCATATGCATGGAATAAATCCATTATACCGATAAACTGGCAATTGAGTAGCAATGAATGAATTTCCCCAAAGTCCAGACTAATCATTTATGATTAGTAGCAATATTGACTGAGGTTGCACCACCTGCCTTTTCAAGCTCATTTCAAATTAAACAGACATCTGCTTGGACAGCCGCACAATTTTTACCTCTGTTCTTGATATCAAGTTTATATATACAATTTTGAAATCATCTTTAGATTGAAATGTTTTGATGATTTTTCATGGGTTGTACCACCTGACATGTTCAAAAGGTTTCAAATATAGAATTATACCAAACTAATGTTTTTTTTTTTTTTGCTACTTAAATACTAAATTTAATAGTTTTCTTACTCTGACATATGCACCACCTGATATTTTTGGACTTTGTGAGATGAAAATTTGGAAACTAAGCCTATATTGTTTAAGATTTTAGAAAATATATTTGCATTAAAGAGGTTTTGTACAATAATGTTAGGCATTCCATGTATTAAAAGATTACAAAAATAGTAATGGATGCGGACAAAAAATACACATACTTCACCTGCATATCATTTCCTTAGATT